TCAAATTGCTTTTAGGAATGAATTGTAATTAATGTGTCTGGGATTCAACACGAAGCTTGTGGAGCTGGCAGAAAACTGTAAAAGTCATCAAATCACAGACCATTTGGTTGTTCCAACAGCGCCTTATTAACAGGTAGCTGGATCGCTATTAGTTCATCCCAAGGGGGCAGATGTGAAGCTCCTCAAAACAGGCTACTTCCACCACCAAAAGGACCTTCAGCCTATGGAGGGTGGGCACACTGAAGGCCACCAGTGCCCAACACGGGCAGGGTACACCCCACCCACAATGATGCTGTGCAGCTCTCCGGCAGCTCACATGCACGGGCTCCATGAAAAAAGTCACAATTCCATAAATGCCCCAGAACACGCATCAGGAAGTTATAACAGCAGCCAGGTTCCCAACTCCTCCAGAGGCAGCTTACAGTGAGCTCAGACTTTCCCAAGAGGACTTGAGTTTTTGTTTCTAGCAAAGGCCATCAACACAAATACAAAGCCAGCAGGCTGGGCCAGGCAGAGGTGAACATCAGCCCCCAGAGCAGAGCAGAGCAGAACCATGGCCCCTCCAGACCAGCAGCTGCGGAATGTGCACGGTGAGCGGCACGTGAGGAGGGGGTCCACGCAGTCATGCAGCACTCCATGGACAGCAGGGCTTGGCCCCCGAAGACACACAAGTGACCCAGGACGTGGAGGGCATCCGTTTCCACTTGGCCCATGGGATCGGCCCCCACCCACTCACCCAGATAGCAGCCATAAAGTCAGAGAAGACATCAGAGAAGACAGTGAGGAAGGAAAAAAAACCAAACAGTGTAAAAAAGAAACCACAAAGCTGCCGAGAGGGCTCCTCTCGGGGAGGCGCCGCAGCAGGGACCTGGGGGTGCTCACCCCTTACCTGGGAGGAAGTGGGCCTGCTCAACTCAGATTTCAGCTCCTCCAATGTGTGCAGTAAAGATGCCACTGCCTTCTCATTGGATGATGTCCAATCATTAATTGTCCTGTAGGAATAAATGGGCACCTAAAGGTTCATGCGCACCCCAAGTAAGCATTACCCAAAACTACAGAACTGTCTGCTCACAAGAGACAAAGAGAAGACAGGTTCCTGAGGAGCCTGTGTGTATCTCCGTCCAGCCATGAAGCACAGAGAGAAGCCCACAGGGGCAATAGAGCTCAGAAACCTCCAGTAGGGGAAGCCACTGCCTGCCATGCGCTGCAGCTTTCTACCAGAATTAATGATTTAAACTGCTGTACTGAATGAAACTTGGCTTAGAAATCATGCTGCTTGGCCAGGCATGGTGGCTCACGCCTGCAATCCCAGCACTTTGGGAGGCCAAGGCAGGCAGATCATAAGGGTAGGAGTTTGAGACCCGCCTTGCCAGCATGGCGAAACCCTGTCTCTACTAAAAATACAACACCCAGCTGCGTGTGGTGGCGGGCATCTGTAATCCCAGTTACTCAGGAGGCTGAGGCAGTAGAATCGCTTGAACACGGGAGGCAGACGTTGCAGTTGCAGTGAGCCCAAACTGCACTACTACACTCCAGCCTGGGAGACAGAGCAAGACTCGGTCTCAGAAAAAAAGAAATCATGCTGCTCTCTAAATTAAGTCCAAGTATAGAAGGAACTGTATTCGCTGAGTTCATTAGCATTACTCTTTCTGTCCATATGAAACATCACAATCATCATCCTGGTCATGAGTGGCCTCGAGTGACCCAGACACTGGGCAGTGCCAGCCTGGGGGGCACAGGAGACTCCAAACCCAACCCTCTGGATGGTGAGCAACTTCACAAACTGTCAAGAGAACCAAGCCACCTCAAAGAAACATGGAAGCCCCACGTTAGGTGTATTCTGAATCACAGGATTTTTTTCTCTAACGTTAGAACATAAATGCCATTCCGGAATCCCTCAGGAGAGTCCCGGGAAGAGGACTAGAGCGTTAAGTGCAAAGGAGCAGAGGCTTCACACCAGATGTGCCCAGACCCTCAGGAAGGCTCTCTGACAGACGTGTGGCTGCAAGGGCCCAGCGGGCGCCGGGTGGTCAGGTGCATACCTGCCCACGGCCTGACTGGCGAAGCTGGTGAGGAGCCCCGCAGCACAGAGCAGCCGCTGCCTCATGGCCTCCAGCTCTCGCTGCTGTTCCTGGAGGTGGTCCACGTCCGAAGTGGCAGCCCCATGGGCAGAATCTGGGTGGAGGCGGCCACCAGGTGCCTCATCCTTCGACTCCAGGTCTCTCACCATCTGCTGAAGCTGCTTGATCTTATGCAAGTCACGCTGACGCTGCAGTTCTAATTCCCGCTGTTGTTAACAGAAAAAGGAAAAGATGTTCACCTGAGTGTCCACAAACAAAACTGCCGGCCGGGGGCAGCGGCTCACACCTGTAATCCCAGCACTTCGGGAGGCTGAGGCGGGCAGATCACCTGAGGTCAGGAGTTTGAGACCAGCCTGGCCAACATGGAGAAACCCATCTCTACTAAAAATATAAAAATTAGCTGGAAATGGTAGCACAAGTCTGTAGTCCCAGCTACTCAGGAGGCTGCAGCAGGAGACTCGCTTGAACCCAGGAGGCAGAGGTTACAGTGAGCCGAGATTGCACCACTGCACTCCAGCTGGGGCACAGAGCTAGACTCCACTCCAAAAAATCAACAACCAAAAAAACTGCCAAGCTGGCCAGATGCGGTGGCTCACGCCTGTAATCCCAGCACTTTGGGAGGCCAAGGTGGGCAGATCACGAGGTCAAAAGATCGAGACCATGCTGGCCAACGTGGTGAAACCCCATCTCTATTAAAAATACAAAAAATTAGCCAGGCGTGGTGGCACACGCCTGTAGTCCCAGCTACTCAGGAGACTGAGGTGGAAGAATCGCTTGAACCCAGGAGGCAGATGCTGCAGTGAGCCGAGATTGTGCCACAGCACTCCAGCCTGGTGACAGAGCGAGACTCCATCTCAAAAAAAAAAAAAAAAAACTGCCAAGCAAAAGACCAAAACGCACAGTCACGTTACAGGGGAGCCCACTCACAGACCAGAAAAAGGCGCTTGGGCAGGCAGCCTCTGCGGTTCTCCACTGGGACCCACAGCCTGACGCACCGCACACAGAGATTCATGCCAACACAGACATGGACAGGCACAAACGTGCATGTGAACGTGCACACATATACGAGCCTGAGTGCAGCCCTGGGGCTGCGCCTGCATGGCCATGTGGTCCTGGGCCCCTAAGCTAGACCTCGAGGAGCGGCAACCTTCCCTTCTGTAGGATGGGGGCCCAGGCCACGTCTGGTGCCCAAGAGAAGCGTGTCAGCAAGTGCCTGAGCCCGTGCCCACTGCACTTCCAGGCGAGGGACAGAAAGGCCATTGCACGATAGGGCAAGGAAGGATGGGCAGCCTCTGAAGGGCCTTGGAGTCACCAGTGCTGCTGGGGCTTCCTTGTGACAAAAAAAGACAGATCCGGCGGGAAGAGGCCCAAGGTACAGACACACAGAGGCGGCTCGCCATGTCAGGGAGGGATCCCCAGCACTAAGCAGAGGCCACCCAGCCCGGAGGATGCTCAGCTAAGCCTGCACTACATGGCACCAGTGCCCCTGCCACTGTGGTGACCAGGGTGCAGCTCGGACTCCACCTTCCTGACAGCACCTCACTCAATGCTCAGGCCTTGTAAGCAAACAAGAGTCATTCTATTTTCTATTTTCTAGTAAGAAAAGTAAGATACAGATGAACTGATGAAATTATATTATTTAGAAAAGATGGAATTGTCTCTGGCATACCACTATCTTGGGAGGCTTCAATGGCTTCAGCTAGAGAAGGTTCTATAACCAGATCAAATTCACCATCCTCAGTAAAAAGAACTCGGGAAGGGCCACCTCACTAAAAGTACGTGTCAAGGTGCATCCTGAAGGAAAGTTACTAACACAACTTAGAAAACATTTTCTTTGTATTTCTTTTTTAAGCACTTGTGTTACCATTCTTTTCAATAAAGAATCTACATTAAATAAAAGGTTTTGGCTGGAAACTTCAGGCATGGTTTCAGGAAATTCTCAACAAGCAAAGACTCCCTTGAGCACCCCATAAAAGGCAAAGCCCTTGCCTGGGAAAAAGGCAAACACACACCCTGTCTCAACTCAACCAGGGTTCTGTGCCCAGGAAAAAGGCAAACACACACCCCAATCTCAACTCAGCCAGGGTGCTGTGCCCGGGAAAAAGGCAAACACACACCCCAAGTCTCAACTCAACTAGGGTCCTGTGCCGGGGAAAAAGGCAAACACACACCCCAATCTCAACTCAGCCAGGGTGCTGTGTCCGGGAGAAAGGCAAACACACACCCCAAGTCTCAACTCAGCCAGGGCGCTGCATTGCCACAAAACCGCAGCGGATGCTTTTGCCATGCTCGGCCACACTGTCTGCGCCACCAAACCACCTCCCTGCTCACCAAAGGCTTCTGGAAATAAAACACTACAAGTATTCTGAAGAGTTGTTTTTTTTTTGAGGTGCAGTCTCGCTCTTGTTGCCCAGGGGTGCAGTGGCGCAATCCCGGCTCACTGCAACCTCAAAGCTTCCCAGGTTCAAGCGATTCTCCTGCCTCAACCTCCTGAGTAACTGAGATTATGGGCATGCACCACCATGCCCAGCTAATTTTTTCTATTTTTAGTAGAAATGGGCTTTCGCCTGGGCCAGGCGCGGTGGCAAACGCCTGTAATCCCAGCACTTTGGGAGGCTGAGGCGGGTGGATCACCTGAGGTCCGGAGTTCAAGATCAGCCTGACCAACATGAAGAAACCCCGTCTATTTTAAAAAAAAAAAAAAAGAAAGAAAGAAAGAAAGAAAGAAATGGGCTTTTGTCATGTTGGCCAGGCTGGTCTCAAACTCCTGATCTCCAATGATTCACCCACCTTGGCCTTCCAAAGTGTTGGGATTACAGGCACCCGCCACTGTGCCCGGCCTGCCCTCATCACTTCTATTCAACGTTGTTGAGATCATGATGCCACTGCACTCCAGCCTGGGTGACAGAATGAGATCTGTCTCAAAATTAAAATAAAATAAAAATAAATAAATAAATTTAATAAAACTATTCAACTTATATTTTGAAAGCAACAAAACACTACTGAAAGAAACTGAAAAAGACGTAAGTACACAGCGGGAGCAGTGGCTCACTCCTATAGTCCCAGCGCTTTGAGAGGCCAAGGTGGGTGGATCACCGGAGGTCAGGAGCTTGAGACCAGCATGGCCAACACGGCAAAACCACGTTTCTACTAAAAATACAAAAATTAGCCAGGCTACCTCCCATGTAGCTGGGACTACAGGCACGTGCCACGACTCTCAAGAAGAAGCACTTGAACCAAGGAGGCAGGGGTTGCCGTGAGCCGAGATCGCGCCACTGCACTCCATCCGGGTGACAGAGCCAGACTCTATCTCAAAAAACAAGAAACCCAACCTAATTAAATGGAGAAACACATTCTGTAATCATGGGTCAGAAGACCTCTTACTTCCCAGCTGTCAGTACTAGCCAGAGCTATCAGCAGATTTAATGCAACCTCTAAGAAACTCTCAATGACAGTTTCTGCAGAAATACAAAAGCCATCCTCAAATTCCTATGGAACAGCAAGAAGTCCCACAGAGCTGAAACAATCTCGAAAAGGAAGAATGAAGGTGGAGGAATCATGCTTCCTGATTTCAACACTTTCTAGAAAGCTATAGAAACAGTAGTGTGGGGCCCGCGCCAGAGCACACAGACAGGGCAGACCAGATCTGAGAGCCAACACAAACCTCGCGTCCCCCACGTGAACCCTGCTAATTCCACCTGCTATCAAGTCCAGGTGCGGACGCTCCGCCGGCAGGCGGCTCTCACCAGCTTCTCCTTGTCTGTCTGCCACTTCCTCCACTGCTCCATGGCCGCTGGGCTCTGCCCGGCCTCCGCACTCCTGCTTGCAGCCTTGCGTGCTTCTTGCTCTTTTGACCGTGGGTGCGACTGCTCTAATTCTGCCTGCAACCATGCTGGTTTCTCCCTATCTCTCTCCAGAAAGCAAATCAGCTCTCGTTCTGGGGTGTGCAGGGCTTCCACTGTGGCCTTCAGCGTGGCACTTACCTCCTTCTCCCTCCTGAGCTCCTCACAGTGCTTCTGAGCCTCGGCCTCGAGCTGCTGCTGAGAGCGCACGGCTTGCTGCTGCACCTTTTCGAGCATCGCCTGCAAGTCCACCACACGGGACTTCTCCTCCCTCAGCTTCCGCAGCAGAGTGTGGTGTGCCTGTGTGTCCTGCTGCACGCAAGCCTCCTGCGTCCTCTGGCTCAGCTGCTCGGTCAGGAGCCGCTCGTGCCGCAAGGCCTCTGACAGCTCCAGGGTGCGGCTCTTCTCAGCCGCCAGGTCCTTCTGGAGCTCGGAGAGCTGGGTCCGCTCCTGGGCCAACAAGGCCTCACAGCGTGAGTGCTCGATGCGCAGCTCCTTCTGGAGGTTGTCCTTGGCCACCTGCTCGTGTTTCAGTGCCACGCAGAGCCGACTGCTCTGAGCACGCTGCGTCTCCAAAGATGCCCGCAGCTCCTAGGCGGCAAGAAGACACGACAGGAGACGTTGAATCACGAGGAAAAGTGTCTAAATTGTCTTCCTGTCCACATCTGTTTATACACCTTAGCCCAGTAAGCCTGCCTTTTGAAATGCACCCTATTAGCCATATGTAGGTACAAGCTTTTTTGTTCATCAAGTAACAGCAAACCCAGACTGGGGATGACACACTTTGTTGGAAGTGGTGTTGAGGAACTGCATGTGCATGTCCTGGATTCAGAGAAGTCCCTGGCCCCTCTTCAGAAAGTCACTAACCAAAGAGGCTCAGAGATATGCACCCTGCTTGCTTTGAACCACCATTTCCATGCTGTTGAAAGCCATAGCCTATGGAACTGGTGCAGACTTGCTCGACAGCTATATGATGCCTGCTAGGCCTCTGCCACACAAAGCCGAGGGTCCCCGCCACCGACCTGCCCCGTACACAGACCTCTGAGGCTGCACTCCATCTCGGATGGACAGGGTGCTGTGTCCATCTCCAGAGCTAATGCTGAGGGATAGTGGGGACTTCAGGCAGGGGCAACGTGCCACCATGGGTAACCGCAATATCTGCCCCATGGTGGCTGCCACTATACCAAGCTGCAGTTTTACCTGAAAACACAGCCCTATCCTGCTGCCTCACACTGCTGTCAACTGGGCACGCTGCCCTCAAGAACAGGAAAAGAGGACGGAGAAGGAGCATGGCTGTAGGCTTCCAAGGGACACAGCCTATGCCGGCCACCTCGCCCTGACGCCCAGTCACCTCCAGAGCCTTGGCATTCTGGCCCTCCCTCTGCAGGTGCCGCAGCTGCTCCTCCTCCAGCTGGCTCTGCAGGGCATGCCCCTTCCCCTGCTCGCTCTCCAGCTCCTGACGCATGGCCTTCAGCTCGTTCTCCTTACTGCTCAGCACGGATCTGCACAGAGACACAGGTGGTCCCAGGCCTCACGTCACAGAACACTCTGACTACACGGGCCAGAGTGTTCTCTCAGGGGCTGGGAGCTCCAGGAGGGGAGGGCAGAACCCTGCCATGCCCTGTGCATGTGCTGCACCCCCACTGCAGGATTATCAGCCCAGGGACAGCAGGGTGCGGTGCCCCTGGGGCTGCCCAACTGCAGCCCACCAGAGGTTCTGTTTCCCTTCATTGCCAAAAAACGGTGGCCACAATGGCGAGACTCCCGCCAGTGTCCAGGGAAGGTGGATGCCACGCACCTCAGCTGGAGGACCTCCTGCTGCACCTCGTGGAGGGAGCCGGACAGCCGCTCGCTCTCCTGCCTGCACTCACAGAGCTCAGACTTCAAATCCCGCACGGCACTCTGCTCAGCCGCCAGGAACTTCTGCAGGCCGTTTGCTTTATCCTCCTCTTCTCTCAGCGTCTTCTGCAAGTCACCTGCAATGGACTTCTCCTGTTCTACTTTATAGGTCAGCAGTTCAACTGAGAAAGGCGAAAAACAGAAATACAGGCCCCGTAAGCTCCCCATGCTGCACGCGTGACACGGTCAGAGACAGACTCGTCGGGGCACAGGCTGAATCCGCTTCGGGAAGAAAGGAGGTTCTGTGGACTAGAAGCTTTCATTGTGGGTGGAGCAGGACGTTCATTTCTGCCATCTGGGCCACTTCCTTCCGGGCCCACGCTCCTGGCAGGGAGTCCACAGAGTCCAGGAGCGATGCATCCCTGTGGCCGTCCTGAAGTGCCACCCCAGCCCCACTCACACCCTAAACTGCCTCCAATAGAGGCAACTCCAGGCCCAGGTGGCTTTACTGGAAAATTCTTCCAAAACTTAAAGAAGACATAACCCCAATTCTAGACAACGGAGGGGATACTTCCCAAACCCCCACGGGGCTGGTGCTACCCAGCATCAAGCAGAAAAAGGCACAAGAGAAAGGAATCTAGAGATCAGCGCCCCTTGCGAGGGAAAGGAAACTGAGACCAGCGCCCGGCCCCGGCCCAGAGAGCATGAAGGAAGGACAAGGCGCCAGGACGAAGGCCATGGCCTCAACTGCAAGGCTTTTCCCCTTGACAGAATCCAAAAGTAAGAACAGAGGGCACTTGCCTGAGCTGACCAAGGGTGCCTGACCCCACCCACACGGGCACGAGACCAGGTCCTGCCCCCAAAACTGAGAGCAGGGAAGGGCGTCTGCCCAAGCAGCTGGCGGCACAGCACGCAAGAAAACGAGGGCGAGAAATGAAAAATCAATCATTGCTTACCCACGATGACATGTGCGTCTACATACAAACTCCCAAAGAACCTAAACTAAATGTAGAAACCTACAAGACATTCCTAACTCTAGTGCAAGCTCCCCAAACTCTGCCAGCACTCAGAGCCCAACACAGACCCCTCCTGCCCACACTGGGCTTGGCCATGACGCCTCCATGCCCCGGCCCCTCCCAGCTCTGCCTGTCTCCAGGGTCCTTTCTGCTCCCTTTTATCAGCTGACAACTGTAGCGACACTTGGGGGCCCGACAAGATGGTAGCCTGTCACCACACTCTGCCCCAAGGCCACACAGGTGAGCATCAGGTGGCAAGGACAGGGGCAGGGCCCCACAGGCAGTGGGAACAGTGGCACCCACCCTGCCTGCGCAGCTGGTGCTCCTGCTGGCTCCCACACGCCTCCGCGCTGGTCAGCGCCATGTGCAGGTGCTGCAGTTTCTCCTGGTTCTGCAGGTGCGTCACGCGCAGCTGGGCACGCAGAGCCTGGATCTCGGACAGCAGGCCACTCCGGTCCAGCAGGCACAGATGCTCCAGTGACTTTTCCTGCAGGTATCCCTGGGGGCAGAGGAGGACAAGCAGCCTGAGCCCCAGGTGGCTGCCACACGCCCCAGCCTTCCAAGCCTGCTGAGTCTAGAGAGGGTGCACAGTAGCCTCTGGGTCTCAGCTCAGGCCCGTGGGCATCAGGGCTGGGCCACGCTACCCTGCATGAGGCCTGCAAGCTGGTTACTCTCAACACTGGGTCTCCTCACGTGTACAATGGTGGTGACAGGATTTCTAGTGTCCCCATGGCACCGCCACCCAGCCCTGCACAAAGAGCACCTCACCACCCAGGAGGGGCTACTTGGAACATGGAATGTCTCTCTAGCTGCTAATCTCAAAACACAGTGAGGCGGTGAGGGTGGATCACATGCACAGGTGTCCTCGTTAGAGCTGCAGACGGAAAATCATAGCATCCCGTGTGGACTGAGCATGACCACCTGGGTCACGGCCACATTCCAGCGGTGGAGAGAAACACACAAACAAAATTCAGATACAAAAGAGTCCGTGTCACCCACTCTGCCAGGGCTGGACTCCTGGGGTAAACTGAGGCCTGGTGGCACAGCTGTCCCTCACCTGCTCAGGGATGACCTTCTCCAGCCTTTCAAGCACGGAGCTGCGACCCCCCGGATCCGAGCCCCCAAGCTGGAGCTGGAGCTCAACTCCCTGCATCTCCTGCTCTTTTTCAAATGCCTCCTGCATGACCTGCAGAAACTCCCCACTCCAGTCAGGGCACGTGGTGGGCAGGTCCTAAAGTGAGGAGGAAGCAGTCCTCACTAGTGCACCTGCAGGCGTCATGAAGACTGCATGCTTGCTCCCCACACTTCCCAGTGTGACTGTGTTTGCAGATGGGGCCTGTGGGAGGTGATTCAGGGTAAACGAGGCCTCGTAAGAAGAAGAGATGCCGGGGCTCACTCGCTCTCCACCATGTGAGGCCACAGCAGGGCGGCGCTGTCTGCAAACCAGCACCCAGCCCTGTGGCACATGATTCCCGAACAGACGAAATCAAGGTCTGCCGTTTAGGCCCCTGCACTGGGGTGTTCTGTTATGGCAGCTGAACAAATGGACACCCGTTCAAACAGAAATGACCCTGACAGAAGAGAAGACACACACTGCCCAGGGCCATTCAGGGCACCAGAAGTAAACACTGCCATTGTGAGAAGAGAAGAGGTGAAAAAAACGATACAGTAAGGTCAGGAAAACATCAGCAAAGCTGCTTCCTTCTTTTCCTGCTGCTGCACCTTCGAGGCCTGGAGCCTGGAGGGGTGTCTAAGGCTGCAAAGGGCTGCCCACTGGTCCCCCGGGTGGCATGCAGCACCGATGAGCCTACCGAGTGCCAGCCAGGCTGTTGCTCGCACAGGACAAGGGCCTGCTGGATGGGCAGGCAGTGGCAGATGGGGCTGACCCACCAGCTCTCCAGGGTACCGGCACGCCCTGTGAGTTCCAGGCATGGGGGACAAAGTCCGTCCCTCCCTCACAAAGCTCTGCTCCTGGTCAGAGGCAGACACAGGAGCAGGACGGAGTGGGCATGGGAGATGGGAGGGAACATGACAGGCTCAGCACCCACTCCACAAACTCTGCAGGCCCTGGTGCTGGAAGGAGAAAAGCAGGGAGATGGGCAGGGCCTGGGGAGAAGTGGGACAGGGGAAGGGCAGCACAGAGATGAGGCCCTGAGGTCCAGTTGCTGGGGCTTGGGGTGTGGAAGTGGAGGTAGGAGAGGCCCAAGGGGAGGAACAAGGCCAGAGGGCAAGTCACCCGAGGGGCAGGAGGAGGGGCCTTGGGGCCAAGTGGTGGGATGGGCTGAGTCCTCAGGGCCACATGGCCAAGAGAGAGCACTCTCGGCCTCCCGGGACTCACACAGGGAGAGCACTCTCGGCCTCCCGGGACTCACGCAGGGAGAGCACTCTCGGCCTCCCCTGGGACTCAGGCAGGGAGAGCACTCTCGGCCTACCCTGGGACTCAGGCAGGGAAGAGCACTCTCGGCCTCCCCTGGGACTCAGGCAGGGAGAGCACTCTCGGCCTCCCGGGGACTCAGGCAGGGAGAGCACTCTCAGCCTCCCCTGGACTCATGCAGGGCATGGGCCCAAAAGCCTGGAGCGCTTCTGCCCCCCACACACCTCCATGTCCCGTCCCGTGGGGAACCTGCCCCCAGAATCTGCGCTCGCTGCGGGAAGTGGGAAGGCCTCCCCAGGGTTCTCAGGCCAACAGTCTGTCTTTCTGCTTGTGCTAAAGAAATCCTAGACTCCACGTGCCCACATGTGGCCCTGAAAATGCGGCCGTTGCTGCGAGCTCCTTAAATCCTTGGGAAAAGATGTGAGGTGCAAAGTAAAACTGTGTCCTCCCCCCACAGAGCGAGCCATCCGGTACCTCGTTTGCCTTCCAGGCTGGGTGTGGCTCGCCTGTGCCCAGAGCACCAGAGGGCGTGAGGCCTTCTGACAGCGCCAGGATCTGGTGGCTCTCATCACACACCATCTGCAGCAAAGCCTGTGGTGGGAAAGGGCATTGAGAGGAGGGAGTCACCTGCCACCCCACACAGCCACGCTCCACAGCACCTGCCCTGTGCTGCAGCCACGGCTCCATGAGGGCGGGCAGCCATGGAGAGGGAAGGTGCCACCTCGGCTCTGTGCAGGTGGCGCCCACTTCTCTAGCTACAAGGTTTTCAAGCCCTACTCCCCCAGCCTTCAGGACGACCACATGGAAGTCAGGCTTGAAGACTGAATTTCTGTATGAGCCACTCCAAAAATGGCCCCGCCATTTCTGTCACTCCACCGGCTCCCTGAGGGGGGACACCACCATGTCTAAGCCTGGGCGAAGCTCAGAGCAGGGCTTTAGCCCAATGTCCGCAGCCAGGTCACAAAGACAATACGCACTACCTGCCTTCCAGGGACACTGCAAGGAGGCCATACAACGGTCACCCAGGAGGCCTCTGCACGTGGTCCAGCTGAGGCCAGCACCAACCCCCAGTGTGGGATAGAGCTGCCTGTGCTGGGAATGGGGAGCAGAAAAAGCCATCCCCAACAAGCCCTGCCCGAGGTCCTGGCCCACAGGTCTGTTAAGCATGAGGCAGCTGAGAACAGAGGTCTGTGGGCGGGAGCAGGGTGGGTAGGAGCGGGGTCGGGGGGAGGCCCTGAGGCTGCTTGGCCCCTGTCCTCCAGCTGCAGAGGACAGGCCAGTTCCTTCTTTTTAATATGCTTTTCTAGATTTTATATTGAGAAAATGCATTTTTAAAAACATCTCTTAACGAAGAAAAATGACGCAAAGGCCCTAGGCTACAGCTCCCGCCACGTGTTGTGGGGCCCCTGCAGCTGGGTTCCCGTGAGGCCGGGAAGAAGTGAGGCCCCACCAGGTGATGTGGGGTTCCCACAGCTGGGTTCCCGTGAGGCCCTGCCAGGTTACGTGGGTCCCCTGCAGCTGGGTTTCCGTGAGGCCAGGAAGAAGGGTCCTGCCAGGTGACATGGGGCCCCCGCAGCTGGGTTCCCGTGAGGCCGGGAAGAAGTGAGGCCCTGCTAGGTGACCTGGGTCCCCCGCAGCGGGGCTCCCGTGAGGCCAGGAAGTAGGACCGAGCCTGGTGGGTACCTTGCAGCGTGGCCTGTGGGGCTACCTGGGGGTGGGGGGTCCCACAGACACCATCGCTGGGGCTGGGAAGGTTCCACAGCCTCCACGCTCAGGACCAGGCTGCTCTGCCGCCCACGCCTATGGAGGGTCCTTGCTTCCTCAGCCGCGGCATATACCCTACACCCTACCAGGGTTTGCTTCCATCTTATGCCATATGCATTGTGTTTAAAGTAAAATTGTTTCCAGTTGTTAAACTGTCTTTAAAGTAAACATAGTATGCAATTTGGTTTCTACCACTTTTGTGTTAATACTTTTTTGGGGCACATCGTTAAAATTATTGTAAGGAATTTTTACAATAAGCAAACATATTGTATAAAAATTTGAGGCCAGATGCAGGGGCGCACCATGGGAGGCTGAGGCGAGCAGATCACTTGAGCTCAGGAGCTCAAGACGAGCCTGGGTAACACGGCAACACTCCAACACTACAGAAAATACAAAAATTAGCTGGGTGGGCTGGGCACCATGGCTCACACCTGTAATCCTACCACTGTGGGAGGCCAAGGCAAATGCATCATCTGAAGTCAGGAGTTTGAGACCAGCCTGGCCAACATGGTAAAACCCTTGTCTCTACTAAAAATACAAAACATAGCCAGGCGTGGTGGCACATGCCTGTAGTCCTAGCTACTCCAGATGCTAAGGCAGGAGAATCGTCTGAACTCAGGAAGTGGAGGTTACAGTGAGCTGAGATTGCACTATCACACTCCAGCCTGGGCAACAGAACAAGACTCCATTGAAAAAAAAAATTAGCCAGGTGTGGTAGTGCACGCCTGTAATCCCAGCTACTTAGGAAGCTGAGGTGGGAGGACCGTTTGAGCCCAAGACGCAGAGGTGGCGGTCAGCTGTGACTGCACCACTCTGCTGAAGCCTGGGTGACAGAGTAAGATCCTGTCTCAAAACTAAAAAAAAAAAAACGAAAATGCAAAGAAGAAATAAAAAACAGATTTAAAAAATCAATCTCTCCAATTTCCATGTTTAAAAAAGTAAAATAAGTTAAATAAGTTGTGTCTCTTTTTTTTTAATTAAGAAAAGAGGTTTAATTGACTCAGGTCTGACAGAGATGAGGTCTTACTACATTGCCCAGGCTGGTCTCGAACTGGGCTCAAGTGATCCTCCCGACGGCCTCCCAAAGTGTTGGGATTCCAGGTGCGAACGATCACGCCCAGGCAAAAGTAAAACAGGTTTTACTCTGAATGCAGTAGCCCTCACTTATCATCATGGATGGGTTCTTGGAAACCGACTTTAAGTGAAACGTGTGTAACGAAGGCAACCTGAGGGCCACTGAGACAACCGGACCTGCGCCAGCAGCACAGAGCTGTCCCTCACACGAGGTCAGCTTCCAAGAACCCAGGGGCGACGCAAAGTGAGGACTTCCTGTGCAATTTCAGAATGGGTTTCACTGACATGAAAACTGCTTGGGAATCCATTTACTGCCTGAGTAAGACACTGCAGTGGCATGATTCGATCACTCACTTGTTTAGCCAAGTTTTTATCAATGGTTTTGCAATAAAATGATCGCTAAACTGGGTGAGAAAAGAAAGCCTATGAAAAGTTCCACTAAATTCTGCCTTCAAAGCTGACTCAGAGGAGGATGAGTGGCTTCTGTCCCACCCTCTGACGAGAACCTGGCTCAGTCCTACAGCACTGAGAAGTCTGAAGCCCCCGCTTCTCGAGAGGCAGGGCACAGTGGGGAGGAGGCACAGGCTGGCTCTGCAGCTTGGGGCAACACCACCTGCCCACGGGCACATAGGACCCACCCTGCCAGGATGGGAGGAGCCACCCACAAGGCCAGTGCAGAGCTGGGCGGGTGGCTTCCGGAGCCACCGTGGGGGCTGGGCTGAGACTAGTCCTGTCTCACGTGAGTCATTAAAATGCAGGTGCTCAGAGGCTCTCCCTGGTGATGGGACGCCGTGCTCGGGGGATGCCCCAGAGGCCGCACCTGTGAGCTTCGAGGGCCATCCCCGCCCACCCTACCTTCATGTGCTTCGGATGGATTTCCTTCTCCTTCATGGCTTCCGGCAGTGGCTGAAACCTTCCAGAGACGGGAGCAGGGGTCACAGGACCAGCAGTGTGAGCCTCAAGGCCTCCGGACCCTGGGCTCAGTCTTGCTCCAAAACCTGAGCCATCACCTAAAAACACCATACTGTCAGGGTCCCACCTGCAGCTCTCTGCAGGGTTCTGCAGGGGATACGCCGCAGAGGCAGGGCAGGGGCGATCGGCCCACGGCCCTAGCGACAACCACACCATGAAGTGAACATAGATGGGCCCCAAAAATACCTTCATAAAAACATAACCCAGGTGAGAATGCCACACAAGTAAGAAAACGCAACTCTGCAGCATCCCTGATGCAAGTGCCAGCCTTAGGGGACCTCTGCTCACTTTTCCAGACATGGCCCTCAAAGACTCCACAAAACCTGATGCCTCTGGCAAGCCCCCAAGAGCAGGTGGACATGCGGGGCCTGCACCCTCCATGCCAACCATGGAGCAAAGGCAGCAGTGGACAGGTGTCCGATGCCTGCTCAATAGACGTTGACCATGCCTGCCGTGGGTGCCTACGGTGCTGCTCCTGTGTCTGGTGGGTGCGGGTTCTCAAGGCTGAGAGTTCAAAACCTCCCAGTGCAAGAGGCCCTGGTCCATCCTGGAGAGCTGCAGCTCCACCTGCCCACAGGGAGGGGGAGCTTTGGAAACTGAGGCAGGATTGTGTCAAGGACCCTGGAAAAATGGTGCTGGAACTTCCCAGAGGATGAGGACACCAGCGAGACAGGCCCTCTATGTGGACAAGGCTCCTGGGGAGAGGAGGCTGTGGCGCTCAGGCACCTGGGGTGCCCCAGCACAGCCTGGTGAGAAGAGAGCATGCTAGAGAGGAGCAGAGGCCAACCACGCAGACAGAGGACAGCCTCGGGGATGACCACGACCTCGTCAGAGAAACAATTGCACGTTCTTCACAACAGGAAGCAACAAAGCGCAAATTTTTGTGAGTGTCAGCAAATGACGAGAGAACAGCCTGAAGGCCTCAGGCGCAGCTCGAGGGTGCAGGGTGCTGGGTTGCTGCCTGCCCGCCACAGTGCCACCGGCCACCCATACCGCCCGCGAGCCTTTGTGCCTAATCATGTCGCCAAGTCCCACTTCTGCCCTGAGTATCTCAGCGAAAGATCATAATGAATAAATCTTTGGAAAAATCATCTAATGCAGCAGGTGTCTGAGAAATCCCTGAGGGTGAAGGACTCTGGCATTTCCCTGTGCCATGATCCCACAGCGGCACCCACAGCATGTACCAGGAACACTGGGATGTGACCGCCACGGGCACTGTCACTCAGTGACATGGGCGCCCGGCACCGCGCCCCGGCCCTCTCCATCAGGAGGAAATGGAGGCCAGCAGGTGCCGCCAGTGGGTGGTCAGAGCTCCAGGAGTCCACGACCACATTCCCACTGTCCCACAGGACCCTGTGCTATCAACATGAGCCAAGCTTCCTCTCAGGACCCAACACCTTCCTCCAGGTACAGGGACCCCCTCACCTGTCTGTGCCCAAAATAAACTCAAGAACAACCCCCCCCCCCCACAAAAAAAGAAAAGAAGAAAGGAGATGAAGCTATATGAGAGAGGAACAGTTGGGGTAAGGAAAGAACTCTGAAAAATTTAAAATAACGAGAGCAGAAACAAAATACTTACCACAAACATTGAAAAATAAAGTTCTAAAGAAAACCTCTTAGAAATGAGAACAAAAATAAAAACCAGAGATAGGGGGAAAAAATTAGAGAACCCTGGAGGTCCGACATATTTGAATAACAGTAATTACAGAAAGAAGAGAGAAACCCATAGATATGATCCAAGAAAGGAAGAATGAGGAAGAAGTCCAAGTCGAGGGGTGCGCTCCACCCTGACTGCACAGGGCCCCTCCATGGTCGTGTGCCACTGGAAGGCGCAGGCCCGGAGGCAGTGGACAGGCACACAATCCCCGAAACAATGTGACTTCCAACCCAGCCAACCTACCAACAACCACCAGGTCAACCCCACACACCTCCTGCCACCAGGGAGCCCAGGAAAGCAGCCCCCACACTCCATTGCGAGGACACACCATACCATCAGCGGTGCCTCTGCCCCGAGACCCACGGCAGAGAAAGGGACATCCACCCCAAGGGGAGGGAAGGCAGGGCAGGCGAGCAAGGTAGCAGAGCCTGGAAACATGGGGTGCGCCGCCCCAGTCTCCATCCCACCAAAGACACCTGAACGCAGCCTGTGAGCTTGGGTGTCTTCTCCCTAAAGGACGATACGGGGACAATTGGTGAGATCTGAGCAAGGTCTGCAACTATAGCTGAGATGTCAGCCTTGGGTCAGGGTGAATATTCTAGGGTGGAGCGCAGCCCGAGCTGGCAGCCTTGGCTGTGTGAAAGGCACAGGCGCGTTTTCAGGAGTCAAGAGGCCCCAAGCGTACACCTGACAGAGGGCAGAGCCGGGGCGGAGGTCAGTGCAGGGCAGACGCAGAACCGGGTGAAGGACACAGGGTTCTCTGACTATTCTGTGCTACGAAACCACTGAAATAAAAAACTATGAACAAAAGATAACCAACTCACTTTTCTCACTTCCATCGGTCTTTCCTTCTAATCCAGGAGGAGATGAACTTAACGTTTCTTGAGGATCAAAAGATGTTATAAAATCTTCCACAACTTTCTCCTGTTCAGATAAGGAGACTGTTAAATTGTCATAAAATAATGAGTAATTACATCATAGAGCTGACTTTGCCAGTTGAATTTATCATCTTCCCACACAGACCCCAAATTAAACAACTCAAAACTGGTGAACACATGGAGGTCGAATGCTTCCAATAATTTGGAAGATTCACCCACAGCTCTTTAGAAATATTTTAAAGCAGCCAATAGCAAATAATTTCAGATTTAAATTGTTTTCCATGAAATGACAGTGAATGTTTCCGATAATATATATCTGCTAAATTATTTTTTGAGGCAGGGTCTCACTCTGTCACCCAGGCTAGAGTACAGTGGTTTGATCTCGGCTCACTGCATCCTCAACCTCCCCAGGTCAAGTGATCCTCCTGCCTCAGCCTCCTGAGGAGCTGGGACCATGGGTGGCGCCAGCACGCTCAGCTGATTTTTTTGTAGAGACGGGGTCTCACCATGTTACCCAAGCTGGTCTCAAACTCCTGGGCTCAAACAATCCTCCCACCTTGGTCTCCCAGAGTGCTGGGACTGCAAGAGTAAGCCCAGCTGTACACAATTTTTTATTTTATCTTACTCAAGATAGACAAAATCCCAAAATGATGTTAGAAATAATACGATCTAACTCACAAATTATTAAAATTAATCAGCATATGTGAAACGTGTTAAAAATATGAAGCATTCCTGGGCGGGTGCGGTGGCTCACACCTGTAATCTCAGCAATTTGGGAGGCAGAGGCAGGTGGATCACCTGAGGTCAGGAGTTCGGGACCAGCCTGGCCAACATGGTGAAACTCTGTCTCTACTAAAAATACAAAAATTAGCCAGGCATGGTGGCGTGCGTCTGTAATCCCAGCTACTAAGGAGGCTGAGACAGGAGAATCACTTGAATCCAGGAGGCGGAGATTGCAGTTAGCCGAGATGGTACCACTACACTCCAGCCTGGGCAACAGAGCAAGGCTCTGTCTCGAAAACAAAGCAAAACAAAACAAATGAACAACAAAAAAAAAATTTGAAGCATTCCTAAAAATAAATCTAAGAAAACATTCTGGACAAAGAACCCTATGCCCATCACACAGGTGATGTGTCTGTGGCTGTGCCTGCTGCGGTAAGCGTCAGTGGAGAAGCATGCCCAGGGTGAGTTTGAGGTGGGAAAATGCATCTCAGGTATTTAAAAAATACCTGAACAACTGAAATAATCTAAACGCTCCCATGACGCCAGTCCTGCAGAGCTGGCCCCACACAGGACTGTGAGGCCGTGCGCTGTCAGATGGTGAACACACAATGGCAGCTGCCAGTGACACTGGGCAGGCCACATTCCCCCCAGAAACGCCAGACCTGGGCGTAGGGCAGGCACCTACCACAGCCAGCCTCTCCACATGGTGGTCACCCGGCGGAGACCTGGCCCACTTTGGGGCCAGCAGCGCTGCTGCTGAGGACACGCTTGGGTAACAAAGCAGCCCCGGCCCCTGGGCCTGCAGCAGGGAGGCGTCCACCCTGTCCCGCGGGGAGGTGTCAGCACTACATAGGCTTAAGGCGCCTGAGTGGGGCGTCAGCGGGAGGCTGGGCTGGGGTTCCAAGGTCGAGTCCTTCCTGAGAACCTCAGGGGAGCTCCAGGAAGACAGGTCCAACATCCTGACCGGACCCTTCCAGGGCCTGGCCTCCATGGCACGGCCCTGCTGGTGGGGGCCGCCAAGCAGGCTGGTAGGTGAAGAACAGGGCCTGTCCTGACATTCTGATTTTTCTTGAATGGGAGAATCTGGCACTTCATCTGGTACCAAGGAATCCTGCCTTTTGATGACATCAGTTAGCTCCCCTGTGGCTGTATTGGCATCACACACATCGACAGGGGCTGATTTGTCTGGCTCTTCGCCATCATGGGAACCATCACTCCAGCGGCTCTCCAGAAGGTGTGCAGAGGCCACAGGCCATGGAGATTTCATGTCAGCAGTGTCCACATCCTGCAAAGTCATGGAATCCAGCAAACAGTTCAATTTTTCCTGGAGGTGTTTCACCTGAGCTATGAGGTTGCCCTTAGGCAGCTGACAATCTTCTGGCACCTTTTCCTGACTCTGCAGGTAAAACAGAACAGGCATGGGTGGAATACCTGGCTTGTTGACAAGCAGATTAAGGGAGCCTGTGAGCACTCAGGGGTGAGGCTCCACAAGGAGAGCAGCACACTTCAAGTTTATTTAATTCTATGAGAAACAGAACCACAGTTTACATCTCTTTGCTTTATTAAAAGGCAACTATCATAACCTATTTCTGCAATGATTAAGGACACAAGCTTTGTATAGTGGAAGAAGGATGGTAAGGTTCTATATTTGGACACCGAAAACACAAAATTGTGGTTTATGTGATGAATTTGGAGTTTCTTTGTGTGTAACTTCTAAGAATTTGGCAATCGGCTCAGGCAGGGCTGAGCTTAAGAATTCAAAGAAACGTTCCTGTCATGAGGGCCCCAAGGCTGTTTGCCACAGGAGACATGAAGGGCTCTCTCTACACAGGATGTATTTCCCGAGAGCACGTGATGAGCACGTGCATCAGGTACACAGCTCTCCTCAGAACTGCAAGCCTAGGCCCATCCTTCCCCGACTTCTGTGGAATTCAGACTCTTTCAGGCTCTAAATGCCAATGAAGTGCATGCAGTCTGGGCCAAGGAAAAGGCAGCACCTGCACTCATGCAAGAAACGTCTCAGCACCGTGCGGGACACTCACCAGGGCTGCGAAGGGCTCGGCTGAGCCCAGGTTGCAGCAGGCATTAGATCCACGCATACTTCCATACCACACTTGAGACCCCAAAACATCTGCCCAGCAATTCTGATGTTAGAGCCTCTGGGTTTCAGAGCCTGCAGTAGTTGGGGCATGTTTAGCAATAGCAGGGAGGGGGAGGAGCAGCAGCAGGGTGGGCGGCTGTGTCCAGGAAGAGGAGGAGGAGGAGGAGGAGGAGGGTGGGCAGCTGTGTGTCCAGGATGGCTATGCTGGGCCTGGGACTGGAGGAGGCGCCACTGGCCGGGTGTGGTGGCTCACACCTGTAATCCCAGCAGTTTGGGAGGCCCAGGTGGGCAGATCACCTGAGGTCAGGAGTTTGAGACCAGTCTGGCCAACATGGTAAAACCCCATCTTTAACTAAAACTACAAAAAAATTAGCCGGGCATGGTAGCATGTGTCTGTAACCCCAGCTCCTTGGGAGGCTGAGGCTGGAGAATCACTTGAACCCAGGAGGCAGAGATTGTAGTGAGCCGAGGTCATACCACTGCACTCCAGCCTGGGCAACAGAGCGAGACCCTGTCTCAAAAAAAAGAGAAAAAAAGAAAGGCGCCATCCGTACCTGACGCACCCCCACCTTTGAGGGCAGCCCCCTCAAAGGAGCTTCTGAGGGGGTGTGGAGACTCACCCCTGGAGCACTGGGTGGGAGAAGCACCAGCACCAGCTCTTCTCGCTAAAGCTCAACCCTGCTACGGTTTGAGGTTGTCAAGGTGCAACCTCCTTTGCTGGGGAAAAGAAGCTGAGCTTTTTTTCAAGTGACAGTATGGAGTGAAATGAACAGATTAAAAAAATAAATCTGAAGCCTTTTAAAGTAAAACCGATGCTGGCCATCAAAGTCCTGAGCTGAGGTGAGCCCCATGGGCAATGTGGTCCTCACATAGAAAGAAAACCCCAGGACTAACCCTGGAACAAGTTAAATCCATTTCTATCAATTAAAAGAAAAAACCCCAACTGACTGTTTCAAGAAAGTGGCTTAAATGAAGCACGTGGGAAACTTCACAACAGTTATGGACGGCTCATTAGAATATGTCACTGCTGGCACAGACTACGCTCCCCATCTCAGCAGAATGCCCGGCTCTGCCCAGGGCAGGACTCATGTGTTCTGCACTCAGCCTCTCCCAGGTCGCCTGCACACCTCCCTTCCTCCCCACACCGCGTGTCCAGCCTCTCCCGGGTCAGCCACGCACCTCCCCTCGTCCCCACACCTCGACACCGCGTGTCCAGCCTCTCCCGGATTGCCCGCACACCTCCCTTCGTCCCCACACCTTGCCACCATCCTCCAGACTCAGGCGCATTTCATTTTTCACCAAGAGCAGCTCCGACTGCAGCTGCCTCTGGCAGATGCTGAGCACCGACATCATGCCTTCTTGCTTGCAGAGAGGTGCATCCTTCAACGTCACCAGGACGGGCTGCAGATCACCCTTGACAGAGGAGACAGAGGAAAGCTGAGCGTGCAGGAGGCTATTGTGGGGACTGCTCCTAGGTGGCCTGGAGCTGGGAGCCGGTGCGGCAGCCAGCAGGGATGCCAGAGGGAGGTGGCAGCACTGTTGGCAGCAGAGCACCTTGATCCCAGCAAGCCACATGGACACAGGGCTGAGGACCCAGCAGAAGCTGCCCAACCCAGGGTGGCTCCACAGAGCAAGGCTGACTGGAGCATCTGAGAGCTGGAGCCACTCTACAAAGACCCCAGCAGGTATGGGGGTGGTAGGCAGCATGTCCCCAAGGTTCTGCTCAAACACAAGTGGGAGCCTTAGGAGACGACTCCTGCAGGGCCTCCAGCTCCAATGGTATCTCACACAGGCAGTGCTTATCAACCTGCAAACCGTTCGATCAGAAACCAGGGAGGGAACTCAAGCAGGACCGCCTCCCACAGTGAGCTCCTTTCACGGGACGGTCCCTACCACGTTAAAGAAAGAATTTTTTTTTTTTTTTTTTTTTGAGAAGGAGTCTCACTCTGTTGTGCAGGCTGGAGTGCAGTGGCACGATCTTGGCTCACTGCAACCTCTGCCGTCCAGGTTCAAGTGATTCTCCTGCCTCAGCCTCCCAAGTAGCTGGGAATACAGGCGCCTGCCATTGCGCCTAGCTAATTTTTGTAGTTTTTAGTAGAGATGGGGTTCCACCATGTTGGCCAGGCTGGTCTTAAACTCCTGACCTCGTGATCCACCTGCAGCCTCAGCCTCCCAAAGTGCTGAGATTACAGGCATGAGCCACCACGCCCTGCAGAAAGAATTATTTTTAAAAACTTAAAATGATAAGCTTAAAATGGTACAAAACAGTGAAAGCCTCAGCCCAGCTTCACTGAGTTCTGATCCTGAACCGGCCTAGGCTGGCTTGAGCTTCAGGCTCCTTTCTCTGCTATGTCATGAAAGGAGACAACCACCCAGTGCCAACTGCCCAGTGCCCAGCACAGAGAGAAGTCATTAAAATTAAAGCAGAAAAGGAGTAAGAGTTAAAAAAAAAACCTGCCATGGCCCACAGGGGAGCCTACCCGTGGGTTGGGGACAGCCGGCTCCAAAGCAGCATCATGGGCAGCCTCCACATCGCCGTCCGCGCAAGGCTGTGGGTGCACCCCGGGCACCCCAGTGTGAGCTGCAGCGTTGCAGGCCTGCTGCTTGTCCAGCTCCACCCGGCACCTCAGGAACCGCTGGTGCAGTACCTGCAGCTGGCGACCGAGGCGGGCGCACTGTGCTCGGAGCAGCTGCAGCTCGGGGGGCTCTGCCAGGGCTGTCAGGGGCTGCTGCTCCAAGGTGCGGCGGAGGCGGGCCAAGGCTGACAGGACAGCCTCCAGCTCAGCAGAGTGGGCCGCCTTCCGCTGGTTCAGAGCGTGGATTTCTAAATCTCTCTCGGCAATCATCACTTCTTTCGCTCTCAGTGCTGCTTCAAACTCCTGGATCCTGGAGGCCATGCCTTCGACCTCAGCCTCCCTGAGAGCTGCACTGCGCTCCAGCTCAGCCAGCTGCCGCTCCGCAGCCTCCTCTGCACCCTGGAGGCGCCGCTGCAGGGCCTGCAGGGCCTGGCTGTGCCCGAGTTCCTGCTCAGCCAGCAGCCGGCTCACGGCCTCCTTGGCTTCGAGCGCAGCCTCAAGCTTGCCCTGCAGCGCCTGCCCGCCAGGGCCCCCAGCCTGGGAGCAGAGCAGCTCACTCTGCAGACTGCCAGCCTGACTGTGGCTGACTTCATGCAACACGGGCCCCATGAGGGACAGCTCCTGCTGCAGCTTCTCAATGACTTCATGGAGTTGTTCAATTTCTTCTGCCTTCTCCTTTTGTAATCGTTTTTGGTTCTCTTGCAGATTTTCAATAGTGGCTTTCAGCTCTTCAATCTCAGAGCTTCTGGTATATGTGACCTGAAGAGAGAGCACATTTCAGAGGTAAATTAAAAGTATCCACTTCAGAATATCCCTCCTTCAGGAAGGCATTCCTGGAGTGGAGACTCCACGGCTTGAAAAACAAAGCAGTCACGGAAGCAAACTGCCGGCATCTGAACTCACCATGCCCGCCTCGCTGCTCAGGGGCCCAGGTGCCCACCTCATGCTCCACGCCTGATCGTGGGATGAAGCTCTAATGCAGCCACTTTCCCTGCAAGGACTTCTACAGAATGAGGCTTTCACAACCCTTTAAATGTGATTTTGTTAATATTTAAACAACATTTTGTTTGACTTTCCTGAAGGAACATTAGATTTTAGGTGTCATTCTAACATCAAAGTTTGTTTACTTGTGATGCAAAACATAATCTTCAGCCATTGTTAAGGAAATGTGATTATTTTCATTTTAAAGGGATGAAAATTGAAACCAAGATATTAAACATCTTTCTAAACCCACAACAATAGTAAGTGCAAAATCAGGATTGAGATCTATGTCAATATAGCTCCAAACTCTATTTTCTTAACATTACTGGTAATGACAAAAAACGGAAAAATTCTAACCTATTTGTGTTCTAACAATTTTAAATCAATTTGTTAGAGCCTGGAGGAGGTTCTTGACGCCCTCTCTGCAGAAGATACTACAAAGCTAGAGGCAGCCGTCTCTGAAATGGAGGTTGATACAGATTTTACATTGGTTCCTCCACCTACTCCTGAGCCTTCCACTCCGTCTGTGACTGCTTACGATGATTTAATGCATGAATTACAAACTATTTGCTGGCAAAGCTTGGCTGAACCCTCAATGCAATGACCATCATGGCCTGAACCTTCTGTTCTCTCTCAGCCTTGCTGTAGGGCTCCCAATCATCCATCTAATCAGCCCGGTAAATAAAATCCTCTCTGTTTAAAATGACAGATTAGGCCAGGGAAGGTAGCTCATTCCTGAAATCCCAGCACTTTACAAGGCCAAGGTGAGAGGATCGCTTGAAGCCAGGAGTACAAGACCAGCCTGGGCAAGAGAGTGAGATTCTATCTCTACGGAGAGAAAAAAAAAAAAAACAGCCAGATGTGGTGGTTCGTGCCTGTAGTCCCGGCTACTGGGGAGGCTGAGGCAAGAGAATCGCTGGAGCCCAGGGGATTGAGGCTACAGTGAGCTATGATTGTGCCACCTGGGACATAGAAGGAGGCCTGTCTCTTAAAAAATAAAATAACACAAATAAATAAAATGACATATTAGTTTGGATTTCAAAAATCAATTACTGTACTTTTCCAGGCAATCTGTCTCAAAATCATCAGCAAAGAAGTAGTAAAATGAGCTCCTGTCTGCTTCTCATCTTATTAAGTAAGGAAGAGTTTCCACAGGGAAAACAACTTGTCACCGGGATCAGCCTAAAACTCCCTTTTACTCCACAAAGGTTAAAATCATTCACATGTAGCCTTGGTGAGAGGATCAGACGTAAACATCACCACCCTCAACTGCCTCCCACGCCAAGTGCATTCACCAAGCCCGTGGCGCATGGCCATCACACACGATTCTACACGTCTTTCCGGGGCATCTGGAAAGTCAGGAATGCTCTGCAATTTTGAGTATCATCTCTACTATAAACAGGGGGTTCTGGTTTTCTTTTCTGCTTCAAAAGCACAGCTATATGAAGATAACAGAAAAGATTTAAAAATAGATTTTTTCATATACACTTACCATGTATCCACAGAAATTAAAAAATAATATTTAAAGATTTTTTTCCTATCACGCCAGTGGGAAGAGAAACGGTGAGTGGCCACTCACTGAAGTCACCTCCTTGAGAAGGACAAGTCAGCCACAGCCCCGTGCCTCTCTCAGCCCACAGCTGCTGTCCCGGGGAAGTGCCTCTCTTCAGATCCCTGACCATCCTCAGATCCCCGACCGTCCTCAGATACCCAACCATCGACCGTCCTCAGATCCCCGGCTATCCTCAGATCCCTGGCTGTCCTCAGATCCCTGGCTGTCCTCAGATCCCCGGCCGTCCTCAGATCCCCGACCATCAGCCATCCTCAGATCCCCAGCCATCCTCAGATCCCCGGCCGTCCTCAGGTCCCCGGCCGTCCTCAGGTCCCCGACCATCCCGTCCTCAGATCCCCAACCATCTTCAAATCCCCTATCGTCCTCAGATCCCCGACTGTCCTCAGATCCCTGACTGTCCTCAGATCCCTGACTATCCTGATCCCTGACTATCCTCAGATCTCTGAGCATCCTCAGATCTGTGACCATCAGGGCTGCATTCGGAAAGCAGAGTTTGGGGCAGGGGTCTCGTGCTCCCGACTCAAGATCCCTGGAAAGCTGTTCTGTGCACATGGCCCGGGCGGAATCAGGCGCTCTATGCAGCTGTCTGCCACATGGGGGCCACAGGCGTCTGTGAAGGCCAGACACTCCCCGGCTCCCCACCCACCCCGTGATGAGGGTCCTGCAGCCGCTCCACATGGCACCAGAGTAAGCAATACAAACAGGAGTTGCGTAGGCCTTTTGCAGCTTACCTTCAAGCTCGCGTTCTCTTCCTGAAGTTCTCTGAGGCTGAAGGCAGTCTGGTTGTTCTGCATGTCTAATTTTAAGTTCAGGTGCAGTATTTCTTCATTCTTACTTACTAAGTCACCTTTAATCTTTTCTAGCTGTTCTTTTAAGTCCAAAACCTTTCATTAAAACAAAAGAAGGGAAGTATTAAAAGTCATCTAACATTCTATTAAGAATTGTTTTAGAAATTACTAAAACAGCTTTGAGAGATTTGAAAGCACATGCCTAAAACAGGTATTACTCCCCTGTGCCTATACCCACAAACAAATGGTAAAGCTGCAAGGAATACGGTGGTCACAAGCCCATCATCTGCGTTACTGGATGTCGGACCTTCCAGAGACGCCACTGGACACTGACCTGCAGTCCCAAGGCCCCACTTCGTACTCACCTCGCTCTCTCGCTGCAGGAGTGCGCTCTGTGTCACCTCTAATGGGGTTTCTGGACTCTGCGGAGGGCTGCCTGCAGGAGGCTCAGGACATCTGCCTGCATCCAGCGTAGACTGCAACGTGGACACTAGAAGCAAGCTACTCATCTGCTGTTCCTTTAACGCCTCTTTATCCTATTAAAAACAGGAAATCTATTTTAAGCAAATATTTGGGAATTCAGTACCTCAAACTGCGGCCTGTTAAAACACAGGCCATCTTCAGCTGCTCCCAAAGCAGGCCAGGTGCACCTGCACGCACCTGCACTCAATGATGCACCTGGCGCACCAGTACCCAGAACCCTGCCGTCTCCTGGCAGAGGCCTGCCTGGTGCAGGACGTGACCCAGAGCCACAGCCTGTGCCCAAGTCCACTGTGAGGAACTGATCTACAGTAACAGTCACCAAACTATTACCAATATATTCACAACTGACAAAAACCTGCCAAAAAAATGGGGCAATGGCAGATGCCATGATGATACAATGAATATTTCCTGCCCAGAAAAATTTTTTAAAAGAATATTTAATATGAAGAAAATGGTCACAACGCATTACATGTGCAGGAGACTGGCATATAATATTGCATATAAAGTCCAATTTCACGAAGGGAAAAAAACCATTTTTTAGCCCTGGCACCCCCTAAAGCTCAGTAAACATCTGCTGAATGGAGGCAGAAGGAAGGGGTTGAGGAGCCCCGGAGCAGCTGTCACTGAAGCACAGGCAGTGGCCAGCCAGGGGACAACTCCGCTCCAAGCACAGGGGACGACGAGCTGTCTTCCCTGCCACACCGGAACAGAAACACCTCAGGTCCTCAGGAAAGGCCCAACCTAGTAATTCTCGCCAGCACTTTCAAGAAACAAACATAACTGGCCAAGCGAGGTGGCTCACACCTATAATCCCAGCACTCTGGGAGGCCAAGGTGGGCGGATCACCTGAGGTCAAGAGATCGAGACCATCCTGGCCAACATGGTGAAACCCTGTCTCTACTAAAAATACAAAAATTAGCTGGGCATGGTGGTGGGCGGCTGTAATCCCAGCTACTCGGGAGGCTGAGGCAGGAGAATCGCTTGAACCCTGGAGGCGGAGATTGCGGTGAGCTGAGATCGCGCCACTGCACTCCAGAACGAGACTCCGTCTCAAAAAAAGAATCGGACACACCTGAGAAAGCCTCCTCTCATGTATGAAGCAGGATTTGGGTCTGAGGGCCAAACGACTGATTCTAAAATCAAATTTCTTACGGAGCCTCACTTTCCAAATAACCTTTCAACCTCTGGTGACAGTAAAGACAGTTGAATTCCTTTTAGCTAAATGCTCACAAAGGAGGAGGGCAAAGCTACTAACTAGAAATGCAGACAGGCAGCCCTGTCCCCTCCAGCCACGAGACCTGCCACCCAGCTCAGCACCGCAGCCCCTCTTTCAACTCTCAGACACAAAAACAGAGCACGAGAAACAACAGCAACGCAAAACCATCACTGGAGAGCTTGCCCCTGGGAGCTGACTTAAGTTGCTCAACTCAAAAACTGAAAGAATTACAAGGGGTTCTCATCAAATTTTTTAGTAAGGTAAGTTTTTTTTTAACCTAAAATAATAAATGTTGGCCGGGCGCGGTGGCTCACGCCTATAATCCCAGCACTTTGGGAGGCCGAGACAGGTGGATTACGAGGTCAAGAGATTGAGACTATCCTAGTTAACATGGTAAAAATAAATAAATAAATGTTTACTTTATGAAATATTAAGGATAAATTCAGAGTTCTTGAGACATAAAGAAATGTTATAAAATGCTACTGCAGCAAATAAAAGCAGGAATCTCCAGAAAGATCAAAGTACGCTTGCTACCCAGTCACCAGTGACTTCTGTTTATCCCTGACGCCTGTGTTTCTGGCACAGACGTGGAGGGTGCGAGTGAAAAGGAAGCCCTGCCCGCTCCCCACCAGCTCAGCGACGAAGCCATGCATGCGGGGATGCCTCGCCACACATCCAGCCACAAAGCGGAGGCGCTTTACTTGTTCTAGCTCTTTCACAATGTTTCTCTGGTTTTCCAATTCTTCCTGGAGCTGGGCCACTTTTTTTCTGATGTGGACGTTCATCTCCTCCAGATGTTTAATCTCGTCTTCCTGCATTGACACTTGTCTATCTGCCAACTCTTTCTGTAGAGCCAATTCATTAAATCCATCCGACTTCTCTCTCAACTTTTGCTGTAACAACTCAACCTAAAACAACAAGAAGTGCTTGAGAAATACAACAGACTGTTTCACAAAAACCCATCTTCCAAACAAAACAATAGACAGCAAACGGATGGATGCCCTCTGCCCTCTCCTGGAGCCAAGCCGCATAGGGAGGCCTGAGGGAAGAACAACTGGGTGAAGGGATACTACTCAGCCACAAAAAGAAAAAGCTATGGCTACACTCAGCAACCTGGATCAATCCCAGATTCGGTGAACAGTGTCAGTCCTCAAAGATGACAAACTTCACACATCAGAAAGATGGAAAAGTTTTAGAAGCAGACGACAGGGGTGGCTGCCAAAGAAAGAACTACGGCATGGCCATGAAAGGGCCCATGAGGGTCCCTGGAGGGCGGAAGGCGCTGCAGCGTCACCAGGTCCCATACCGGCTGTGACACTGCATTCCAGCTTTGCAGATGTGACCTCTGGGGAACTGCATGTCTGCCCCGAGGGATCAGAGCCTTACCTCTAACGGCTGTGTGTGAATCCACCGTTAATTTTTAAAAAGAATAAACAAACCTACTAGAGCTTCCTCAGACAAAGGAAAGCAGGCGGCTGCAGCCCAAGCAAGAGTGAGAAGAGCAAGTGGGCAGAGGACAGTCCCCATGGGCGCAGGGGAGCCTGGGCGCGAGCGCAGGGGGTGCCTGTCTCGTCGATGCCTCCTCACCTCTCCATCCAGCGGCGCCTGCTGCCGTTTTCACGTACATGGAAGGCAAAAAGTTAAAGCTTAAAAACACAGCAGAAGACAGCAAGCCGCGGCACCGCACACCACGCGGACTTACCTGGCTGTCGTGAGGGCCGCAGGGCTGCGGCTTGGCCGCCTGGTGGAGCTGCCCCTCCAGCCTCTGAATCTCCTGCTGGAACTCCTCACGTTCATGCTCCCTCTCGGCAGCCTGCTCCTGGGGGGAGAAGCAGCATGTTGGAACCGCCTAACGGGGCCTGTGTGACCCTTGCAGCGAAGGCCCAGGCTTTCACAGCACATGGAAGCGCGACCACCCAACAGCTCAGACTCCAAATTTCCCCCTCGTCACAGCCCCCTTGTAAAAGGGAGGTAAGTAAAGAAAAGCGAGCCTCTGCATGGAACACAGGAACGTCTGGAACTGGCGGGCAGGAGGACGAGAGCTGGTGAAAGCATGCAGTGCAGGCCCAGCCTGGCCCCAAAGGATGCCTCTGGGACTGAGAAGGAGCATGGCAAGACCAGGGAAGGCAGCCCTTGGAGGCCTGAGCCACAAACATGGGCAACCAAGACACCCACCAAGAGTCAGTGACCTGGGTGCCCCCGTGCAGCAGGTGTGGGATGCCCGCCTCAACATCCCACCAGAGAAGCTTCTGTAACGATCTGGAAAGAAGCTCAGGCTGTAACGGCAGCTTTCAATGACCAAATAAAAAGCATTATTCAGAATTCTTACATCCATGAATTGCCGCTGGCTGCGCAAATGCTTGTCCAGAGACGCCACCTGCTGTTCCAGGGCGGTGACAGCCTCTGCCTGCTTGGCACACCCGAGATGCTGAGACAGCTGTTCTTCCAACTCCAACTCCAAAATCTTCATCTGGGCGAGCAGGGCTGAGCGGTCCTTCTCAGCCTGCTTTTTGTTCTCCGACTGTTCCGTGACCAGATCCTCCACTTCCTTCCGGAGAGCTAAGGAGGCAAACCAGACAAAGACAGGGAACGCCTGCACCTCAGGGGCTGTACTGAGCAGGGCACACACATGTGCATTTCCTGATGATGATTCCCTCAAAACCCACCCAAAATGAAGTCACATGACTTTGGGGTAAAAAGCCCACCTTTTAAAACAAAATTGGCTAAAATAAATTTTTTAAGCCTGAGAAGAATACTTCTGAGTGACACATCAGGTAATTCTCTAGGAATTCTGTCTTCACAACACTCTCCCTGACAGAAACACACGACTAAGACTCTCCCCATGCAAGCCCAGTCCCAGCAGACGACTGACGGTGCTGAGTGCCTGGAGTTGTGACGTGTCTGGGGGAAAGGCAAATGCCCCATTGGTAAAGCAAAAGCGAATCTAGGCCAGGCACAGTGGCTCACACCTGTAATCCCAACACTTTGGGAGGCCAAGGCAGGCAGATCACTTGAGGTCAGGAGTTTGAGACCAGCCTGGACATCATGTTGAAATCCCGTCTCTACTAAAAATACAAAAATCAGTTGGGCGTGGTGGTGCATGCCTGTAATCACAGCTACTCAGGAGGCTGAGGCAGGAAAATTACTTGAATCTGGAGCAGAGGGTGCAGTGAGCTGAGGTTGCAGTGAGCTAAGATCACCGCTGCACTCCAGTTTGGGCAGCAAAGTGAGGCTCCATCTCATAAATATAAATAAATAAAATTAACTGGGTATCGCAGTTTAAATTTCTGTCCCCTCCAAAACTCCTGCTGGAATTTCATTGCCAGTGTGGTTATACTGGAGGGGCCTTTAAAAGGTGATTAGGCCAGAAGGGCTCCACCCTCACAGCAGCTGGGATGCCTCGATCAGAGGGCTGTGGCTGTGGGCCCTCCCTCCAGGCCCTTCCGCCTCTGCCCCATAAAGATCCTGAGGAGCCAGCTCTCCACTCCAGAGGGCGCAGCATGTAAGGCTCTGCCTTAGAAGCAGAGGCCGAGCCCTCACCAGACACCAAACCTGCTGGCATCTTCACCTTAGGCTTTCCAGCGTCCAAAAGTGCGAGCCACAAAGGTCTGTCTGTGATGAATCCCCGAGCCTCAAGATTCTGTTCCAGTAGCCCAGACTGCCTGAGACCCTGGGTAGTGAAGCCCCAGGCCAAGTGCAAACTGCGGATTAAAAAGCATCTTGAGACAAGGGGCTCTCTGCTGCTGAATCCTGAAGTCTTTATTTATTACTGTTTTTTTTTTTGAGACAGTCTGGCTCTGGGATTACAGGTGTGAGCAACCACTCCCAGCCTGAATCCTGAAGTCTTTAAGCCATCCAAAAACTAAATTATTAAATTCGTGCATGTTAATTGACATTTCACCAGTTTCGAAAAAAACATTTTGATCTATAAAATTGTTAGTGTTTTATAACAAACTATCATGGCCAAAGCAAGTAACATTCTCAATAAATGCTCACGCCGCTGTCCGCAGTGACGGCGACTCCGCTGTAAACATGCTGCTGTGGCAATGCCATTCACAGCCTGGGACGAGGAGTTGGCCCGGGGACAGCTGCTCCCCAACTACAGCCCTGGGACGAGGGGTTGGCCCGGGGACAGCTGCTCCCCAACTACAGTCCTGGGACGAGGGGTTGGCCCGGGGACAGCTGCTCCCCAACTACAGTCCGGGGACGAGGGGTTGGCCCGGGGACAGCTGCTCCCCAACTCAGTCCTGGGACGGGGGATTGGCCCGGGGACAGCTGCTGCCCAACTATAGTCCTGGCCCTGGACATGACCCGGGCTCCGCGCGGCCCAAAACATCACCATCTTCAGGGCCAAGGGCGCCGGGGCACACACTGGGGCTGGGCGCCTGTGACACACACGCAGCCTCAGGGAGGCACAGGAGGATCGCAATCCCCGCTGGTTGAGCAGGCGACCCCCATGCTGAGCAGGCACAGGCCCTCCTAGGAGACCAGAGCAGGGACCCAGCCCAACAACAGCTACAACTGCCACAAGAGTTCCTGAAAAGCAGCACAAACTGTAGCTTAGGACTGTAGTTAGTATCATCAGAGAAATGCTCCCGTGTTGCTGGGGAATTGAAATGAGACACTACCACCCACTTCTGTGAATACTGATGATTAGAGTATCGCTGTATTTATTGTTTGCCACAGAAGTTCTGAAGGTCTTTTCTTTAGTAAATAATTTGCAAAATCCAGTGCAAACACACAGCACATCACACAGAGATCACTCGTTTGTCCTTACAGACCTGAGTCCGTGTGTGCTGCAGTGACAGCTGTACCTACGGACGAAAGTGCATTTACTGAGGCGGACACGGAACCTGAGAGTCAGAGCCACGAAACTGCATTTACTGAGGCAGACACGGAACCTGAGTCAGAGCCACGAAAGTGCATTTACTGACACGGACACAGAACCTGAGAGTCAGAGCCACTGAAGGCTCCGGGCACTGCTACTGGTCTTTTGAGACGGAGTTTCACTCTTGTTACCCAGGCTGGAGTGCAATGGCGCGATCTCGGCTCACCGCAACCTCCGTCTCCTGGGTTCAGGCAATTCTCCTGCCTCAGCCTCCTGAGTAGCTGGGATTACAGGCACGCGCCACCATGCCCAGCTAATTTTTTGTAGTTTTAGTAGAGACGGGGTTTCACCATGTTGACCAGGATGGTCTCGATCTCTTGACCTCGTGATCCACCCGTCTCGGCCTCCCAAAGTGCTGGGATTACAGGCTTGAGCCACCGCACCCGGCCCTGCTACTGGTCTTGAACAATCTCTAGGCTCAGTGTCCACCATGCCCACAACCGCCTGTGCAGGTGCAGCACACGGACTTTTTGAGGAAACCAAGGGAACAAACGGGACAGGCGACACCGCCAGAAGAGGGCCAGGAAACACACCTCACAGCAGAGGAGGCGCCACGCAGTACGGCCAGGTTGGGCTGCGGCACATAGGCCCTGCCGGTAGGCAGGGCACAGTCACACAGCTGCAGGTCCAGGGTGAAAGGAAAAGAGAGAAACCAGAATGCGAAACTAAGGCAGAGTTAACAACATCAAAATGAAAGCAAACCAAGAGGACCACAGAGAAATGATGAGAATTTCCCAGTGACAAAACAGAGTTGGTCCAGGACATGAAAGGGCTCCATGAGATCCGTGCCCAGCATGCCAGGCACCTGCCACTGCAGGGCCTGTGGTAAGCCTCAGCTTCTATCCTGGGGCCTACAGGGACCCGACAGGCTATGGACACCCAGGGCCCATGTCCACCTGCCACGGCACTCCCTGGTGGGCCAGGCCTCACAGCAGGGGGTGAACCAGAGGCAAAGCAGCAGAGGGGCCACCACAGCCTTGGGAAGAAGCCTCTGTGGTGCTCAGCCCCATATGCCCAGGCCCAGGCCAAGACACCCATGCTGGCCACAGGGGCCCTGGCCACTCGGCCTAGGCCTCACCAGGCGGTTCAAGAATACACAGGCCGTACACCCCTTTCTCTGCCAGGAGTCCTGACTAACGAGGTGACTGGGCTGAAGTCCAAGGACTCGTGGTGATAAAACACCAGGTGGTCTCCCCCGTCAAAGAGTGCGGCCCAGCTACCACTGGCTGGGCACAAAGACACTGGAAACAGGGTAGCAGAATCCACAGGGAGGGGACCGGCCACGAGGCTGCCTCTCGACAGCAGGGGGCAAGCAGAGAAAGCATCAGGGGAGACAAAATGACGGATGCCAGACACAACAGCAGAGTCAGGACAGAGATGCAGGCCCTGGGTGCCAAGAGTGATGGAGGATGTCCGAGCCGTTGCTGAAAAGTCCGAGGAGACGCAGGAAAACGAGCGCCTCACAGGAAAAGAAACAGCATCTTGAGTCATGTCTCCAGCACAACTTGACTCGCAGAAGTGGCGATGGAGGAGACTCCAGGCCCTCCCAGTCCTCCCTCTGTGGACACATGTTGTACAGGGGCAGCAGCACTTGGAGGCCCGTGGGGAGACAACACTGGCCTGAGCCTGGCAGCAGCTAACTCCACAGTGAGGACTTCACAGCTGGCCAAGGAAAATCCACCCCAGAGCAAGGCCAAGGCCAAGCTGGCAGGCAAGAAGGGAACACCAAGAACAGCAGGAAGGGCCCAACACCCACAGGTGCGGCCAAAAAACACTGGCTTAAATGGACCAAAAGAAGACACTCACAGGTAGGGTTTTGTTTTTTGTTTTTGAGACAGAGTCTTGCTCTGTTGCCAGGCACCAGGCTGGAGTGCAGTGGCACAATTGCGGCTCACTGCAATCTCTCCTCCTGGGTTCGAGCAATTCTCCTGTCTCAGCCTCTCAAGTAGCTGGGACTACAGATGCAAGCCACCACGCCCAGCTAATTTTTGTATTTTTTGGTAGAGATGGGGTTTCGCCATGTTGGCCAGGATGGTCTCGATCTCTTGATCTTGTGATCCACCCGCCTCGGCCTCCCAAAGTGCGGGGATTACAGGCATATGCCACCACGCCCGGCCTACAGGTAGGGTTTCTTAAAAAGTCATGAACACGGTATCCACATGAGACACAACTAAAACAGAGCATTTAAAAAGACTCAAAATGAAAGGACAAGAAAAGATATACGAGGGGAAAAGCACCAGGCTAATCCTTCAACCTCAGAAATGTACATAAAAAATAGAAACAGGATAAACAGGAATGACAAAAATGAATGAAAAAAAGAAGAAGACAGTGTGGACGTGATCATAGACAGTTTAAAACACCCAGCAAGACAACGCCTTCCACACTGGGCCAAAGAATCACAAGCTTGTGTGACCCAAATGTCAACACGAGCATCACAGGTGGAAAGGCTAGGGCATGACCTGAACCCACAGCCTGCGAGGTGGCAAACATGCCTGCCGGCGTCCAACCCAAAAAGCCCACAGAGTGAAGAAAGCCAGAAACCACAGGAGCTGGCCGGGCACAGTGACTCACACTTGTAATCCCAGCACTTTGGGAGGCTAAGGCAGGTGGCTCACTTGAGGTCAGGAGTTCAAGACCAGCCTGGCCAACGTGGTGAAACCCTATCTCTACCAAAAATATAAAAACTCAGCCGGGTGTCAGCAGGGCGTGGTGGCTCAAGCCTGTAATCCCAGCACTTTGGGAGGCCGAGACGGGTGAATCACGAGGTCAAGAGATTGAGACCATCCTGGTCAACATGGTGAAACCCTGTCTCTACTAAAACTACAAAAAATTAGCTGGGTATGGTGGCACGTGCCTGTAATCCCAGCTACTCAGGAGGCTGAGGCAGGAGAATTGCCTGAACCCAGGAGGTGGAGGTTGCGGTAAGCCGAGATCGTGCCATTGCACTCCAGCCTGGGTAACAGGAGTGAAACTCCGTCTCAAAAAAAAGAAAAAAAATCAGCCGGGTGTGGTGATGCGTGCCTATAATCCCAGCTACTCAGAAGGCTGTGCAGGAGAATCGCTTAAATCTGAGAGGCGGAGGTTGTAGTGAGCCGACATCATGCCACTGCACGACAGCCTGGGCGACAGCAAGACTCTGTCTCAAAAAAGAAACCACAGGAGCAAGAAATCATAGGAACGAGAGCAAAAATCCACGAGACAGAGGACAGCAAATGAGAATGGCCACAAATATTAAAAGCTGGTTGTTTTCTAAAGAGAAAAACGTAAAAAAAAAATAGTTTTTAAAACAAAAAATGAGACTTCTGAATTGGCTGTGGTGGTTCCTTCGATGCCCAAGCTTATAACTACTCCAGTTTGTGTTGGGAAGGGATGACCCCGAGACCACAAACTCCTGGAAGGAATGAAAAGCACCGGCTCCTCTGCCTCCGGAGCACCAAGATCCCGGAGTACAGAGCGTCTGCGCAGTGGGAGCCTGAGATCCCAGGAGTGCGGGGCGCCCACGGGGTGGGAGCCTGAGATCCCGGGAGTGCAGAGTGCCTTCGGGGTGGGAGCCTGAGATCCCGGGAGTGCGGGGCGCCTGCGGGGTGGGAGCCTGAGATCCCGGGAGTGCAGAGTGTCTGCGGAGTGGGAGCCTGAGATGCCAGGAGTGCAGAGTGCCTGCAGGGTGGGAGCCTGAGATCCCGGGAGTGCGGGGCGCCCATGGGGTGGGGGCCTGAGATCCCAGGAGTGCAGGGTGTCTACAGGGTGGAAAAATGGGCACGCGGGTGGCAGGACCAGCCAGGTCTGAGCTGAAAAGGTATGGGGAGAAAGCCAGGGTCAGAGGCAGCGACCGGGGAGGCACAGCATCAGGACTGAGGGCAGACACCCCAGCCCTGGGAAAAGCCTTTGCTCAAGCTCAGCAAGCTACTGAGGACACAGTTCCCTGAAGGCTTGACATTTTAAGCTTCTTATGTTTTGGCCGTTTTCATTTTAAATGCCTTTAAAACCAAAATATCTAAAAATCTGAAAGGATATGAACTAATTTTGTTAGAACTATATTTTCCTAATTGGGGTTAGTATCAGGCCCTCGGCTATTTTTAATGAGATCGTAAAGCTGCTCTCTTTTGCCGTGGCTTGGCTCTGTCCCCAGCTGCTGCTGTTGGACTCAGAACTCCTCTTATTTCCACCTCACAGAGGTGGGGGACCCTCCAACCAGCGGGGCCAACAGACAACCCACCTTCTCCGAAAGGGCAGCAAGGCCAGCGGACCCCTCACGGATCCTGCACAAGCTTCCCACGCCCAGCGTTCCACAGAAGCAGCGTGCTGGTTTACACTTGGCCCTCTAGAGACACTGAGCAACCCTGGGAGCTGGGGAAGCCACGGCAGCCGCGCCCACGTGCCACAGTTCACACTGCCCTCCAGAGCCCACGCTCCTCACCAGCTTCTCTGGCCTCTGCATCCGCGGCTGCAGCCTCCCCCTGGCTCCACAGACGGGCACACTCCTCCCTCAGTGCCGCCTGCTCCTGCACCGCGTGCTGCAGCTGCTGCCTCAGGCTCTCCAGCTCCAGAACCAGGCGGTGCTCGGAATCCTCCTTCCCAGCCAGCGCCTTCTGCAGATCCACAGCCTCCACCTTGAATCCCTCGAGGGTACCTTTGGGGGACACAGAGATGCTCTGAGAAAGCCAGCCCTGGGTGCAGAGTTGACATCACCCCATATCCACACCTGCTCCACGGTTTGCATAGAGACCTCAAGCAAGGAGACCCATGAGACAAGCGCCACGGGCAACGGAGGACGGCCTGCTGGGAGTGAGGAACGTGCCACCGCCCCTGAGGGCAGCAGACCTAAGAGCTGGAGGCATGTAGGACCAGCTGAGACCCTGAGAGACAGGGCCATGGGCAACGGAGGATGGCCTGCTGGGAGGGAGGAACCTGGACACCACCCCTGAGGGCAGCAGAGCTAAGAGCTGGAGGCTTCCATGACCCAGCTGGGGGCCTCCAACGGAGCAGCTCCCAAACACCCTGTTCCTCCCATACCATGGGTACCTCCCACTGTTGGCTTCGTTTTACATTTCACTTTTAAAACCCCATTCCGAAGGCTTCCTTCCTTCATCGAGGCCGGGCCTGCCCCCGCATTGGCTCCAGGCGCCCGAGGCCCCACGCTGCTCACCCTGCGGCTCTAGGAGCCCAAGGCCCCGCACTGCTCACCCTGCGTCTTGTGCAGCTCCAGCGCCAGCTCCGCCTTTGCTGCGCTCTCCTCCTTCAAGCACTCCAGCAGCTCCTGGTGCTTCCTGACAACCTGTGCCGTCTCCTCATTTTTAAAACTAAATTCTTTTTCAAAACGAGAATGAATCTGGCGTGCTTCTTCCAACTGTTAAAACACATTTACAAATCAAAACTTCAAATCAAAAATAACTGAAGCTTATGTTACTTCTACCCCCGGGCCCTTCGGGCCGTCACCACCCAGGCAGGGCCAGGGCTCCAGTCTCCAACGAGGACCCTGCACGTGGCCAGCAGTCCCTCCCGGCCTCCCAGCTGAGCCCTGGTCCCTCTCCCTTCCTCCAGACACTCCCCTGCCAAGTGTGTCCAGTCTGGGACTCCCAGACCATCTACAGGCTGAGGCCCAGAGTCACCTCTGAATTCAAAACTTAGCAAAAAATGATTTTTTTCTTTTGAGACAGGGTCTCTTTCTGTCACCCAGGCTGGAGTGCAGTGGAACAATCATGACTCACTGCAGTCAGCCTCGGCCTCCTGGGCTCAAGCAATCCTCCTGCCTCAGCCTCCTGAGGAGCTGGGTCCGCAGGTGCATGCCACCCACGCCTGGCTAAATTAAAAAAGAAAAGAAAATTTGTACAGATGGGAGTCTTGCTATGTTGCCCGGGCTGGCTCAAACTCCTAGGCTCAAGTGAGCCTCCTACCTCAGCCTCCCAAAGTGCGGGGACTACAGGAATGAGCATTGTGTCTGGCTGAAAAAAGGATCTTTGATTGCTTTCCACATATTCCTATTTAATGTCTTTTTTAATTGTCTAAAATGTTCTAAAACAATTTAAAAAACAATTTCCTTTTTTAGTGATAATCTCTAAATATGAAAACATGCCATATGGAGTTGCAATGGTGCATGAAGTGAAGTGAAATAAATGTGTCTATGTATTATCCAAATTAAACTGATTCTATGGCATTCAGAGCAAGCCCACTTCCTCATCTGATTCAGAAAAGCCTCCTCCCTGGGGAGAAACCCACGAGACAATGGCTGACACCAGCGTCCACCAGGCTTTTGAGGAAACATCAGCTACTCACTCCTCACCTGCCTGCTAGAGTCCAGGGCCATCTCCAGGAGTCCGTCCACGGCCAGGCTGAGGCTCTGGAAGACCCTCCGGATGGGCTGCTCACATTCCCGCACACTTTCTGGGCTCATGAGAAAGCTTTCACGCATGTGGCTGCTAATCTCAGCCACGCAAGACATCTCTGCACATTCAGACAAGGTTCTGTCCAACTCCGGCAGGGCTGCGTCAGACCATGTCTCCTCCAGCGCCGGAGCTGAAAGACGGGCAGATACCGGCACACGTGGCTCAGCGAGCAAGTTGGCCACAGCCACGACAGCCACAGCGACAAGGCATCTCAGAATGAGAACCGGGAACTGAGACAAGACAGCACCCGTCACAGGAGCTGGCAAATTTGGCCCAGACCCCAGTCTCGGAAACCAGGAAAGCAGTGCCTTCCTGGAGGATCCTCTCCGAGAGCTCCAGGCCCACATAGGGACTGCAAGCACAGGGTGGGCGGCTGGGGGCCTGGTCCTGGCACACTCACCTGCCGACAGGGCCAGGCCTGTGCCTGCGTCGTCCAGACAGAGCCCCACACGCTCCCCAATCCGGCTCCTTAGGGTGATGGCTGCCCTCAGCGTCTCTCCAAACAATCCCAGCAGCCTGCGCAGGGCGTCCTGGAGGGCCCCTCTGAGACAGGAAACACCCATCAGGTAAGCCGGTCATGGCATGGGAACCCACCCCAGATACTGCTGAGGGGCTGCCCACCAGTCTGCACGACTCGGCCCACAGCCACCTGTCCCTGTGGAGCCGGAAGACACAATCCTCACCCCCACGAGCACGGGAAGCTGAGACCACAGACAAGACAACCACTGGGTGCCCACTCCAGGACGTGGGCTTCCTAGGTGAGGTCTTCCTGATGCCATTTCTGATTTGCAAAAGGTGCCATATTAGTAATGCAATAAGCCCGTCCTGCAGGTATGCGATGTGGGTGCATAGTGTAAATCACCCTATGATTTACACTATGGAGCGGCACACAGGCTCAGTCTCTCCCCCAGAGCACAGGCTGCACCAGCCAGCGGTTTTACAAGATGTCTGTCCAACACCAGTCATGCCTAAGCCACACGTTCACAGGAGTCGCAAGGTGAGAGGAGGATGGCGTCTCCCAGCCTCCCTCTAGGCCTCGCGGACATGTGGTCTGAGATGCTTCTGTTTTTACACACAGGGGCTCCTGGGGCCCAGGCCCCTCCACGCCTTGCTCCCTGCACTGCAATGTAGGGGCAGCCCTCCCAAGTGTGATGCCACTGAGGAAGGGCAGGCTGACCCTGCACCTACACGGCTGACCCTCCCTCCACTCCGCTCACAGTTCTAACCCCCAGAGCCCAACCCTGTGGAGCAGACGCTGAGGACTGATTCATGGAGACCGTGAGGTGAGACCGGCAGAAGCACCGTGCAGGCCCTGAGGAGCCCAGGACTCTGGGCAAATAACAGGGAGGGGGAGTCCTGAGGAGAGAATGCCACCCATTCCCTGGCACACTTCCAGCCCCTGAAATGCCCAACTCTTGCAGGCAGCAGGGCGTTGGCAGCTGCCCCTCCTCATGACAGGCACTCCCTCCAGCCTATAGGGATGGCAGGCTCACCTCTGCGCCCCTCATGTTTACAGCCTGGGCTACCCCACCTACTTCTACACCCCTTGAGTTTAGAGCACAGGATGCCCTACCCACTGCCAACCTCTGTGCCCCTCAGTTTAGAAGCTGGGGGGCCACCTCGCCTGCCGCTCGCCATGGCTCCGGTGACTCGAGAGTCAGCACCAAGCTACAAGTTGCCCACAGCCAAGTGCAAGAAAAGGCAAGGTCCTCACAGAAAAATCACAAAACCTGATGAAAAGAACAAAGATCTGCACAGACACGCCCTAAACACGGACGGACCCTCAGCATGACAGATGCCAACGCTCCAGAAACAGCTGTGAACTCAGAGAATCCCATCAGCCTGACCCAGTCTCCCGACCCTGGATGGGCTCCAGGGTGCAGCCAAACTCAGTCCAGGGCTTCAGGACACAGAGGCCTCGGGCGGGACACACCACAGGAACGGGACACACCACAGGAGTGGGACACAGAAGCCTCGGGTGGGATATACCACAGGAGCAGGAGACAGAGGCCTCAGGTGGGACACACCACAGGAGCGGGACACAGAGGCCTCGGGCGGGAGGGACATACCACAGGGGCGGGACATACCACAGGGGCGGGACACAGAGGCACAGGAGCAGGACATAGACGCCTTGGGTGAGACATACCACAAGGGTGGGACACAGAGGCCTCGGGCGGGACACACCACAGGAGCAGGACACAGACGCCTTGGGTGAGACACACCACAGGGGCGGGACACAGAGGCCTCGGGCGGAGCAGGACATAGACGCCTTGGGTGAGACACACCGATGGGAGCTGCCAAAGACCCATGAATGGGGACGGGGAGGACACGCACCCAAGGGGAGGCTGCACTGGCCAACTCCGTGGAGTCCACTGCCCAGACAGGTGCAAGCAACAACAGCGGAGAAGCTGCAGGCTCACCCCAGAGTCACACAAAAGCAAAACGTAAAGCCCGTGAGATGACCTGGGAAAACCTACATGGTGTCAGAGTAGCAGTTTCTTAAGACCCCAAACGAGACAAAGGGGCAGTCGAGCCTGAGGGATGGCACCGCCACAGGAGAGGAGGTGCCAGGACAGGACACAGGCCTGGGCCCGTGTGCTCAGGGGAGGTGACCCTGCAGCCCATGGTGAGCACACGCATGCCCTGCCATGGGAGAGCCCACGGGGCTGGGCGCTCAGCCCCCTGCCTGCAGGTCCCCAGGCACAGGCTCCCTGTGCAGAAAGGAATGGGCAGGGCTACGGCTGCTGCTCAGCTCAGTCTCAGAAACACGCGTGACACAGAGAGATGTGTGAGGCATGACGTTCCCACACAGTCCAAGCCACAGGAACCACGAGACGTGTGGGCCTGCACCCCACGCTAGGGACGAGGACCTGGATGCACCGTGGGGATGCCGATACCTAAGGGGAGGGGCCGGGCTCTGAGTGGGAGGAGAGGGACGGGATTTCCCAGGGAGGCTAGATGGGAAGCTGAGACACAGCAGGCAGGCAGGCGTGTGCTTCCAGCGCTTATAATCTTCTTAGGTGAGAGAAATAAGGAGGCCGGGTCCCCATCCACCAGGAGTCAGTGTGCACGGTGGCACCAGCCATGGGGCCAGGAGCCGGTCAGCCAGGGACCAATGGCCTCCACGTGACCCAGCGGGTGCAGGCAGCCCCGGGGCCAAGGACACACTGACCTCTCGCTGTAGGACAGGTCGGCGTCGGCCTTGAGCATGGAGAGAAGGTTTGCACCCTCCTGATTCTCCCGCTCCCGCCTCTGCTGCAGCGCCTCCAGCTCAGCACGGCACTCTTCTATCTCGTGACTCAAGGAGAAGACCTGGTCTTTCAGCTACGGGGAAAGATCGTAAATGCTTCAGTTAAAACGGTATGGTTAAAAGTCAATGGCTGTAAGGGACTTTCAATGTAACGGTCACGATTCGAGTCTCTGACACAGGACTTCTCAGCCCTGCGATGGTGCGAGAGCAGAAGGCATTCTGGCGCATTCGACGCACGGTGCCTTGACCAACAATGGTGGAGACGCAGCCCCCGCACAGGCCAAGGGGCACATTTAATAAAAATACAGCAAAGGTAAACGCGGTGCCGATTCAAGGTGAAAATCACTGATACGGTTTCTTCTCCATTACTCATCATTTACAAAAGAAGAATACATTGGCATCCCCAGCTGGAACCTGAGGCCAGGGGAGGGAAGGGGTGGTCATCAGAGATCCACTGCTCCAACAGCAGTTCCAGTAAGTCACTGTGACTGGTCATTCACAGAAGTCAGGTGCCAGGTAGACAAAGATCTTTCTTTTTGAAACAGGGTCTCATTCTGTCGCCCAGGCTGAGTGCAGTGGCCCAACCACGGCTCACTGTAGCCTCAATCTCTGGGGCACAAGCAATCCTCCTACCTCAGATTCCTGAGAAGCCGGGACTACAGGCGCACACCACCACACCTGGCTAATTTTTAAATTTTTTTGTAGAGACAGGGTCTTCCTATGTTGCCCAGGCTGGTCTCGAATTCCTGGAATGGAGTACTGGGATGATAGGTGTGGGCCCCGGTGCCAGGGGAGGTAGAATGGGCAGTGAGAGTCTAATGGGTACAGAGTCGAATTTTGCAAGATGAAGGCTTGGAGATGGCCAAATGCACCTCCGCCATGGAACGAGGCACTGAAACAGGGTTACGATGACTTCTATGCTACACGTCTTACCACCAAAAGAAAATGATTTTTATGCTGTACATGTCTTATTACAAGGGAAAGGCATATTCTACACACCTGCTGGACTTGGTGATTCTTCTCTTGAAGCTGCAGAGACAAAGACTCTTTTTCCTCTTGGTGAAAAGGCTGTGCCTGTGCACTCTGGAGCCTATGTGTCTCTTCTTTTTCAGGCAATGTAGCTTTCTTTTCACTTCCAAATTCACCCTGTACACATTAATAAAAATAAAAAATACCAGCAAGCTAGAAAAATGCATTATCTGCTATTAGCTATAATTCAGCACCTTCAGCAAATATCCACGGAGCTCCCACTCTGCACCAAGAGCCACCACTCACAGAAAACATGCGCTCAGAGACTTTGCGGAGAACATGAAGTCCTGGTTTCAGGGACACAAGTCCGCACCAGTGACAGCTGCGTGCAATGAGCACTGCTCACTACCATTCCTAAAGGGTTACCGTAACATCTTCAAGAGTCACATTAAGAAGTTCACCATCCTGGGGTTACAGCCATGAAAATCGAAGATATTTGGAAATCTAGGTTCCTTCCCTTTTAAATTTTATTTTCTTCCTAAATAATAAAAACTTTTAAATAAGATTCAATAAATGAATTAAAGTACATATATATATATATATACACATATATATATACACATATATA